GATCTCTTGGAAAATGATGGTTTCTAGGGAATGCATGGCCATTGTGGACTACCATCTCTATCTCTTCAAACCTACCTGTTCGATATTTTCCACTGTTAAAAATGGTCCCATGAGTAATATCAAGCAATTTAATTGGCCTCTTAAGTATTTTTTCCAATTCTGCTACATCCTCTACTCGAGCACCAGGTTGGTGCATTCTTTTTTCCCATGTACCAATTTTTTGTTTACGTGTACTGGTAAGCACATACCCTCTTTTTGCTTTTTCAAAATGCTCTATTACTCGTTGGGCGACACAATTAAGTGTGCCATCTTTTATAGGCATTAATCGTTTACTATCTGGCTCCTGGATTCGATACAACCCATATACAACTGCATTTGCATCAAGTTCCCTATATTCTGATTTTTTATCACCTTGAATAATCTTAACTAAAAATTTCTCGTCAATTCCTACCCAGAAGCCTGGCTTGGTTTTCTTTGTAAGAATAACATTTGGACCTCCTAGAACGAATTTCTTACTGACCCTCTTTGATTCTCGAATGGGCTGGTATTTATCAATGATTTTAAATGCATAGTTATGTCTTTCACCATAGGAAAAATCGTCTCTAACAAATTTTACTCTTATAAGAAATCTATCATTATTCATTGCATTTAAAATCTTCTTAGCACGCTTTTCAGTCATCCCAGCTTCGTACATTTCTGCTGTCTCAAAATGTTCTTCTATAAATGTTATCCATTCTGGACTTCCTTTGTCTTCTGCCTTGTATTCCCGTATTAATGACTCAATCTTTTCTGAAATCGTTTCTTCATTGTGCAAACCCCATTGTAAATATATCTCTTTTGCTTTCTTTGCTACTTCTTTTTCGCTTTTAGCAGTTAATAATATATTTGTGAAGTCTTTTTTCAGAATTAGTGCAAACCAGGTCGAAAATGTGTATTCAGCACCATCTACTTTAAACATGTCTTTTGCTGTCTGAATACCCTTTTGCCATACTTTCCGATGCCCTTATTATCTGGAAATGGAACTGGCCAGAGCACTTTTTTATCTAAGTCCTTTGGATCATCTTCGGAATCATCTCTTTGGTCATCTCCAGAATCGTCTCTTTGGTCAATGATCTCAATTTCTTTCTTCCAGTTTTTTCTTTGCCCTTTTCTATATGCTTGAGTAGTTGGGCCAGATCCGGCTTCAGAATCTTCTTCTATTGGTTGGTCTTCTTTTGCCGTTTACTAGAAGACTCTTCCATTAAATCAAACCATTCTGCATCTGTTTTTGAAATCTTTTTATTAATAATGGTTGGGTTGTTTTTTATCTCAGGATTCGCAAGCCAGTTAGCTAAAGGCTTGGCCTCTTTTGGACCCTTCCTTTTCACGAACATGGATTACAGGAGATGGATTAGGTGCTAGCAATTGAGATCTGGATATATTAGGGTTAGGTGGATGAACTGGGTTGGGTATTTGGCTTGGCTTACACTTAAACTTTCTGTTAAGATGATTTGTTAAATCACGAGTCTTTTTAAAGTCATTCTTTCCACATCGAGGACATTGGAGTACCATTTTTGATAGTAAGTGGATCAATTCAGTTGTTTGTATTAATAGTATGAAAACTTTTGTTCAAATAATAATTAATTATCCCTCTTTCGATCATCAATTGGCAGAAGAGATTCCGGAATCAGTTAGTTTATTCTGGTTTGTTAGTATTCATCCCAAAGTTCTTTGAACGAGGAGTTGGGATAGGGCTATGGCTACTGGACAGGAAATTTGATATACTAATCTTTTTCGAAAAAATTTATACCAAACCCGGATACAAAGGAGGTGGTGAGACTTATAGGTGAACATATCTTGTATACATTAATTGATATGACTTAGAGGCCAGGTGATTTTTTTTTACACCTAGCCTGAAAAAATTTTACATCTACCCCGAAAAATTTATACCTGTCCTGTTTTTTTTTATGTCAGGATCACAACCAGAAGGCGTGCAAAAGCAAAAAAACAAATTAGTAATTCTGATGAGTAAGAGGAGCTGGGAACGCATAATCTAGGTGTAAATTTTTATTATAACGAAATTATAATCAGCAAACGCACAAAGGTAAGAAAACAAATTAGTATTTTCGATAAGTAAGAGAGGCTGGAGTATGGTATTTATTAACTATCATTCTTGAGGTTTTCAGGCGAAAATAACTTGGTCTGAACATACTATCTACTAGGTGTAAATTTTTATTATATCAGCATTATAACCAAAAAAGCGTGCAAAGGCAAGAAAGCAAATTAGTAATTTTATTAAGCTAGAGAGGTTAGAGTACAATCTAAGAATATAAAATTTATCGATATACTAGAACTATATTTTGAGAGCCCTAGAACAGTGAAAATAATAAGTATTCATTTTAGTAGCAGGGAGGTTCTGGAATACTTATTTCGAAAACTATAAATCTTAGGTTTCTAGAGTAAAATAACTTGGTCTGCACGCCCTTCCTGCTGCTCATAAATAGATTTAAAATGAAACAATTATTAAAAAAAAAAATTTACATTAAAAGTTTGATTGGATGTTTCGGGGTTCTTATAACTACCCTGGAAACTTGTTCTGTTCTATTTATTATAGAAAGTACTGCTTGTGGTGCTCTACTTAAGCAACTCATAGTTTATGTTTAAAAAAATTTGTAGGTCGAGAGTAGCAAGAAGAATAATTATAAAGTTGTTAACAAAAAAAAAACAACTAAACAAAAAAATTAACAAAAACTGAACAACAAGAAGAAGAGTTATAAGCAAAAAAATAATTTGACAAAAAAAAATTAACTGGAAAAAAAATTATAGCTAGTATTGTAGTAGTAAAGCCAAATAAGTAAAAATAAAACAATTCTTAAGTTGTTAACAAAAAAAAACAACTTTGACAAAAAAATTAACCAAGACCGATCACACAAGAAGAAAAAAATCATTAAAAATAAAAATAA